GAAGCCGTGGCATTGCAGGTCCGGCAGCGGTATTGACCTGTCTGCTTGCAGTGCCAGAGGTCGTGGTCATCAGGTCGCCCGAATACCACAGGGACCATCTGCTGGCTGAGCGGTTTCGCAGGGACGGTGTCGCGGCCATAGCGCTGGTAGCGTATGACCCTCAGGCACGCCTGCGAGAGGAACTGAAGGACCAACCTGTGCTGTTTCATGGCCGCCACGATGGACTCCGACAGCGTTCTCGCCACCGTGTGCTGGATGGCCCCGAGTCGCGCGAAGTAGTCCGCCCAAGCGTTGCCAATCCAATCGCAGATCTCACGGGGTTCCGCCTCCATCAGCTCGGTGGCCGATCGATGGGCAGGGGTCCATCTGAAAATAGGGGCGTCCTCTAGGGTTCGCTCCCTGGCGGCCGTGAGGATGTCGCGCCACACCCTCGCATGCTTCGAGCGGCTGCTGGCCAAGTGCGGGCCCCACTCGGCTCCCTCCTTGACCAGGCCTGCGAGGTCCGTCACGAACTCGAGGTGATCAGAGTGAGCCGCCAGCCCCATCTTGATGGCGTACCGCTCCGCACGACCCACGGTCTGCACCAAGTATGGAAGCGGCCCGTAGAGCGCACGAACGGGCATCCAGCTGTAAGGGTCAAGCTGGACGACGGCCTGCCCGCACCGCCTGATGTCGGGCAAGCTGGAGTCAAAGCCCGAGCCATCTGTGTAAGACGTGGGGCCCCATGAGCCCGTGGTGTCGCCCCAGTGGTACACGCCGCTGCCGATCGAGTCCAAGGATGGGAGACCCGCAGGCGGCTCAGGAGCCCCAAACACTAAGTAGGTTTGGTCGTAGTTCGGGGATCCATTGCCCAGTCCTGCAGCGCGGAGTTGATCGCGAACTTCAAGCAGGTGCGGAGGGATGGCAAGGAATGCGTGGTCCTTGGCCCTCTGTGTGGCACCGACACACTGGGTGTTAGCCGCCATCGCTGTGGACTCGGTAAGCCCGTCCCTCAGGTCATCAGGGGAGGGCTCTGCAGGAGGCTCTTCCTCGGGGACGTCCTCGGGCACCTCCCCCACGCCAGGGAAGAAGTCGTCCGCCTCCTCCATCATCACGGCGCTGACCTCGATGCCGTCGGTCAGCCTGCTGCGATCTCTTGCCGGCTGTGGTGTGGCGGGGATGTCGTCGGATGACCGTTGAATTTCCCGGGAGCTTCTGGAGCTCCATCGGGCGACGGATGTGGAAGCAGATCTCCTTCATCACCGTCTCTGACACCAATCGGATCCTCCTGATGCTCTGGTCCCGTAGCCTCTGGGGCTGCGGATGCGCCAGCACCGGTTGGCTGCACACGTTCGTCTTCAAGAAGCCCAGGGCAATCTAGGAAAACGTGGCCCCAGCACGTGTGCTGGTCGAGGACGGCTCCACACGCCTGGCATGGGCGCATCGGCTGCTGGAGCTTCATGTCCCGCCGAATGGGGATGGGAATATTGTCGGCCCAGTGGGCCTGCAAGGCCCCAAGCCGCCGGGGGTGACATATCCCCTTGACGGCGTAGCGCAAGCCTCGGTGCCAGATCGGGGCACCCACATCCGTGTACCAGTGCCGCTGTAGCCGTGCGTGCTGCCAGCGCTGGATGCCCTCCACCAAGAAGATCTTGAGGTCGGCAGGGCAAGTTTGGAGCAAGTCATAGTGCCGCCCCACATCGTCACGTAGCGCCTGTGGTGAGGCCATGTCCCAGCCAATCCGTCGTAACGTCAGCAGCGTAACCCCGAGCGGTCCCCGCACCTGGTCCCACCTGGGGTTACCATGGTGCTGGTTGAAGGCAGTCCAGGCCCTCCAGAGGCGGCTCAAAGACGTGCGCCCATCCCAAATCCATCCAGCGTACCGTAGTACCACGTCTAACGTCGCACCATAGATGGGATCGTAGTGCTCGGCTCGATGGGTAAGTAGATAGCTGGTGACGCCCACGTTGGATGTACCAGGGGCTCCATTGAGAACGGCTGCGCAGCGGCGCAGCTCCCGAAGGGCCTCGTCCGTTGCGCCTGAGACCCCAGCTCCGTGCGCCACGGCTGGCATGGCACCCGTGCGCCAGAGTGTCGTAGTCCGCCTGCCCACTGCTCGTTGTAGTATGCCGAACCGATGGCGGCGGGCCCGTAGCTGATCCAAGCGCTTCTTGGCCACGGTGCGTCGGACCTTGGGCCCATGGAGCTCATGCCCAAGGTTTCTCATGTGGGCGGCCCGTGGGAATCGTCCGACTTGGCCGGCGTCCGTGGATCTGGTCCACAGTGCGCCACGAGGCTTCCGCTTGAGGAGTCGGTCAAGCGCCTGTCGGGTGCGCACGGAGCCGACGACCAAGGCCGACTTATCTGTGTTGAGGACCAGTCCCCGCTCCAGCGCCCAGCTGGCGAAAGAAGTCGCCACCATCCCCAGCCGCAGGAGATCCGTCGGCTCAGTGCTGACCAGCTGCAGGCCGACGTCGTCAACGAGCGCACGGGGCGTAACTGATGGGCAGAGCGTGGACGCTCGCTTCACCGTCCTGTACAGCAAGAGGTAGAGGAGGTAAGTAGCGTGCGTGCAGCCCGCGATGATGCCTTGCTTGGCCAAGTATGGGCGCGACCAGCTGCCGTATGCCCGTATCCTGCGCGGCTGGCGGTACAGCTGCAGGAGGAGGAGTTGGAGTAGGAGGAGGAGGAGGAGGAGGAGGAGGAGGAGGAGGAGGAGGCGGCGGCGGAGGCGGAGGAGGAGGAGGAGGAGGAGGAGGAGGAGGAGGGGGAGGAGGAGGAGGGGAGGGGGAGGAGGGGGGGATGAGGAGACGGAGGAGTTGGATGAGGAGGATGGCGAGTTGGAGTTGGAGGAGGAGAGGTGGTGGAGGAGGAGGAGGAGGAGGAGGGGGAACCCGAGTACTATGAGGAGGGGGATGAGGAGGATGAGGAGGAGGACGAGGCGGATGAGACGGAAGCATACGAGGCGGAGGAGAAGGTGTCTGTAGGATTACCTTCATCAACCGCTAGCAGCATCACGGGGAGGAGCGGGGGGAAGCGAAAGAGGATACGAGGAATGCAGAGAATGATGATGAGGAGGCGGAAGCGGAGGAGGAGGAGGAGGAGGAGGAGGAGGGGAAGAGGAGGAGGGACGAGGACGGAGGAGGATGAGACGAGGCGGAGGAGGGGGAGGCGGAGGAGGAGGATGAGGCGGAGGAGGAGGAGGAGGCGGAGAGGATGTGGAGGGAGGCGGAGGAGGAGGAGAGGAGGGAGGAAGAGGGGGGAGGAGGATAAGGAGGAAGAGGAGGAGGAAAAGAAGAACACGGGAGGAGGAGTAGGAGGAGGAGGAGGAGGAGGTGGCGGAGGATGTGGAGGAGGAAGAGGATGAGGAGGAGGAGGAGCACGCGGATGAGCACAAGGAAGAGGAGGATGAAGAGGACGACGAGGCGCAGGAGGAAGTTGAGGATGATGTGGAAGGGGTAGGACTTTGGGGATGGGAAGATTGAGGAGGAGGAAGAGGAGAGGAATGAGGAGGAGGATGATGATGAGGAGGAGGAGGAGGAGGAGGAGGTGGAGGAGGTGGAGGAGGAAGAGGAGGAGGAGGAGGAGGAGGAGGAGGAGGAGGGAGGAGGAGGGGGGAGGAGGGGGGGAGGGGGGAGGATGAGGAGGATGAGGATGATAATGCGGAGAGGAGATGAGGAGGATGAGGAGGATGAGGAGGAGGCGTGGGAGAGGAGGCGGAGGAGGAGGAGGAGGAGGAGGAGGAGGAGGAGGAGGAGGAGGAAGGGGGGAGGAGTAGGAAGGTTGGAGGAGGAGGTGAGGAGGAGGAGGAGTAGGAGGAGGACGAGGCGGTGAAGGAGGAGGAGAAGGACGAGGCGCTGCACGAGGAGTAGGAAGAATAATGACGAGACGATGACGTAGAGGAGAAGGAAGAAGGTGGAACATGAGGAAGAGGATGAGGAGGAGCATGAGGAAGAGGATGGGGAGTAGGAAGAAGATGACGAGACGGATAAGGAAGTTGAGGTGGATGTGGTATGGGTAGGAGTAGGGGGGAGGGGAGGGGGAGGGGAGGAGGAGGAGGAGGGAGGAGGTGGAGGGGGAGGATCAGGAGGAGGGGAGGAGGAGGAGGAGGAGGAGGGAGGATGGAGGAGGAGGCGGAGGAGGAGGAGGAGGATGAGGAGGAGGAGGAGGAGGATGAGGAGGATGAGGAGGAGGAGGGGGAGGAGGAGGAGGAGGAGGAGGATGTGTGAGGAGGAGGAGGAGGATGAGGAAGCGGCGGCCGGGGAGGAGGAGGAGGAGGAGCAGGAAGGAGGAGGACGAGCGAGGATGATGATGCGAGAGGTTTTGTGCTGCTGAGGTTTGGGGGAGGAGAGGAGGATGAGGACGTTGAAGGGGCGGATGAGACGGCGGAGATGTGGATTATGATGCGGAGGAGGAGGAGGGGGAGGAGGGGAGGGGGGAGGAGGGGGAGGGGAGGGGGAGGTGGAGGAGGAGGAGGAGGTGGAGGAGAAGGAGGAGGAGGGAGGAGTAGGAGGAGAGTGGAGGAGGAGGAGGAGGAGGAGGAGGAGGGGGGTGATGATGAGGGGGAGGAGGCGGAGGAGGAGGAGGAGGAGAGGAGGAGGAGGAGGAGGAGGAAGAAGAGGAGGAGGAGGAGGAGGAGGAGGAGCAGGATGATGATGAGGAGGGGGATAGGGAAGAAGAGGAGGCGTAGGAGCATGGGGAAGAGGAGGACGATGAGGAGGAGCATGAGGCGGAGACGGATGAGGCGGATAATGGTGTTGCTGAAGATGATGATGTTGATGATCATGCGGTTGATGATGCTGCTGTTGATGATGCTGATGATCCTGATGAGGTTGCTGCTGATGATGATGGTGATGACGACGAGTATGGCGATGATGCTGTTGATGGTGATGATGTTGTTGATGCTGCTGATGCTAAGTAATAATGCTAATGGTCGTGATGACTGTTCTGACGATATGGATGATGCTGATGATGAGTACGGTGATGCCGATGACGAGTATGGTGGTGCGGCTGTTGATGCTTATGTTGTTGATGGTGATGCTAATACTGTTTATGGTCGTCATGCTTATGCTGACGATATAGAAGATATTGATGATGCAGATGCTGCTGATGATGATCATGATGATGCCGCTGATGATGTTGCTGATGCTGATGACACTGAAGATGATGATGCTGGTGAGTTTGATGACGTTGTTGATGGTGCTGATGATGAGGAGGTGGTGGAGGAGGTGGAGGAGAAGAAAGAAGCATAAGAGGAGGAGGAAGCGGAGGAGGAGGGAGGAGGAGGAGAGGAAAAGAAGGAGGAGGCGGAGGAGGCGGAGGAGGAGAAGGACGAGGAGGAGGAGGAGAGGAGGAGGAGGAGAGGAGGAGGGGGAGGAGAAGGGGAGAGGGAGAGGAGGCAGAGAAATTGGAGGAGGCGCAGGAGGAGGAGGAGGAGGAGGAGGAGGAGGCTGAGGAGGAGGCATGAGGGCGGAGGGAGCTGCGAGGAGAAGAAGAGCCCGACCGAAGTCTGGGGGCGTGTCCGCCGCTCGCCCGACGCTTGCCGGCCCAGGTGAGTCAGCAGAGGCGCGTGCGACGGGCGGGCGCGCCGAGCAGTCGGGGGAGCAGGCCGATCTGTGCCGGGCGGCGTCCGAGAGCGCCGCGGTGGACGCGGACGTGGGCCCAGAGCCCAGCGGCGCCCAGGACCGTTGACGCCGGCCAGATGTAGATGTTCCGTCCTGCGCGGGGCGGGGGTGGGGAGGAGGGGAAACCTGGGGGGCGGGGGGGGGGGGCACGGAAAGAAGGGGCGCGGGGGGAAGGAGGGAGCCAAAAGTGGGGAGGCGGGAGGGGAGGGGGGTTCCTGGGAGGAGGGGGGGCGGCGTGGCGGGCGATGGGAGAGGGGCGGGGGGAAGAAGGAGGGAGGAGGGGGAAAGAAAGAGGAACAGGAGCAGGACGCGAAGGAGGATGAGGAGCAAAACGAGGGGTGAGAGGAAAAGGGGGGCGTGAGGGGGGAGCGCTCGAGAGCAGGAGGGACAGATGCCAGAAGACCGCGTAAACACGGGACGTCCGCCGGCGGCAGATCCCCGCCCGGCGCCAAGTCCCCCTCCCCTCCCCAACTTGTTGGGCGGCGCCGACTTCCCTAGCGAGCGAGGTGGGCACTGCGTACGGGAGGTGTGGCGACGTCGACGGCGGCGACGGTGGCGGCAGCGGCGGCGGCAGCGACGACGGACATCGACATCGACATGGGATGGGGCCTAGCGCCGTGGGCGTCTGAAGTATAAGCTCGTTTGGCTGTTTGACGACCTGTCCTACCCTCCGACTACACGTCATCCTTCCCTCATCCGTTCCTTTTTCCTTCTCCCCCCTCGCCCTTCTCCCCTCCTCGTCCTCTTTCTCATCATCCCCTTCCCCCTCTTCCCTGCTTCCACTTACGTATGTGTGGCTTTCTGGCCCCATCATCGAGGAGTGTCTCTGTCGTCTGGTGGTGATTTTCGACGCGGCGGCCCGCTCCATGCTGAAGCATCCTCGCACTTTGTGGGCCCGGGAAGCGGTATGGCCATTTATGATACCGTTTCCGACAATGGTCTTGAAAATTGCAACGGTCAGAAAACGGGAACCAGAAACCGCAAACATCGGCTCCAGAATTGTAGCAGCATCCGGAACCGTCAAATCCACCACCGGCGTTGGAACCGGCAAAAAGCATGCAAAGCGGAGCCGGTGTAAAACACTGTTCTGTCCTTTCTAGGGCCTCTGATTCCTCACGAAGGTAGGCGTCACATGGCGATAGCATAGCGGTACCCGAGGCGTTGGGTGCGCAGAGAGCATCCAGGCACTACCACCATGCATAGAGTGTATGAGCTTTCCTGGCCAATTTTGATTTATTTGCGCAATCAGTCTGAGGCGCTTGGGTTTCTGGAGCTCATGCTCAATGCTTTCAGTGCGCCTCCTGGACGTCGGTGGCTTGTAGAGTGATATCGCGACCGGTGGTCAGCATCATTGTGCCGCCACACAGCGGTTCGGAGCCCGATGTGCATCCATGATTTGTCCTTGTTGGGCAGAAGCGGTGATCACCTTCACCCTCCCAGCTACAACGCCGCAGCAGAAAAAATGTCAAATATAACACCAGACCATGGGACCATCTGACCCTCGACCTGCGCCAGATCTAAAAGCCCTCCGCCCTCCTACAGAAATATTCAATGTTAGTGCTATTCGCAATGATCCCCAGGTGCATTTTTTTCGCTGTCTCTCTCACATCTGGTCTTCCACTCAGGGAGTCCAGCTATGGTCGTACATCTGAGTTGTTGCTCATGGGAACGTGAATGGCCCTTCAAGACGGCGCTCCCGCTGCAGCGTTGTCCACACTTCAGGTTCGCGGCTTTGCACACGTCTTTGATGATGGCGCTGACGCTTGCGCGCGGGCCACTCCGATCTCGTCCGCTCCTATCCCCTTCTTCGTTGCTGTCCCCTTCCGTTCCCAATCTCCGCCCTCCCCTGACCCTCCTGCTCCCCCTGCTCCTCAGGCCCGAGTTTGTTTGAATATCCTTCCCTACCTTCCTCCAGCTGTGGGAGCAGGCGCGTGCGAGCGACGCAGGTGATTGGAGGTCTAGCAGAAGACCCCTTGCGAGAGCGACCCTGTCGGCGCGACGTGCTGATCGGAAGGTTGTCTCGAGTAGCCTCCTCGATTTCTTGCGTGCAGGGCTCCAGGGAGAGGTTTAGCTTTCGCTCGCTAGCCGAACGTCTTGGGCATCCTCTCGGCCCGCGTGCTACTTTCGACTGCGCGCGTGGTTGCATGTGCACGCGTGGCAAGCAACGGCATCGTCAGCAGCAGTTAATTTTGCTTTCGTGCGCGTCTGATCTCACACGGACTGCATCCCGTTTTTGTGATGCGTTACTTTGCATCAGCGTGGAGCGAGGGTCCCGTGCTCACTCGGGTTTGTCACCACCCACCAAACCACCCCAACCCAACCCGAAGGCCCCAATTTACCCTCGATTTCCAGTGGGGGGGGGTCGGGAAACATCGAAAAAACACATGTGGAACCCTTACCCCCCCCCAACCCGAAATTCGGGTCTTCGGGTTGGGTTGGGGTGGTCTGGTAGGTAGTCAGTTTGTGTGTCATTCGTTTGTGCTTTTGTGTGCTCCCTCCATGCTCCCTCCCTGGCGGTATGTGGCAACCTTGGCGCCTCATAAACCGACTTGAATGTGGAAGCTCAGGAAATAGCGACCGTGGCACGAGATACGGGGAAATCCATAGATCGACGGGAACTGCATCAAGCAAGCCCTCCGTTGCCTCCACCGTGCCTCATGGGCCATCCCATTGCTAGAGCAATCTTCCGATGCTCTTAGCTATCTCGCGAGGTGCTCTGCGGGGGGGGGTTCCCCAAATCCCTCGCAATGGCTGAGCATGCTGCGGCCGCGTTGCGCTGTCAAGTAGCAAATCGTCGCACATTCTTGGCATCTGGCTGTAAGACTTAGCGGTCCATTCGGAAGCCGCTCTTTGGGACGATTAGCTTTGCTGGCGCCAGGCGTTTTGCTTCCACGTGAAGGCCCATAGGGACTTCGAGGCCTTTGGGTGCGTGGAAGGTGATGAACGGCGTTGCCAGCAGGAATGCTAAACTGGCCCACTGAGGGGCCCCCGCGGTTCGACACCGTTTCTGCGTAGATGGCTGAGCCGAACCAGAGACAGGCCCAGGCTGCTGTGCAGCTTCCGTCTGCGGTGCTTCCCCTGTGCGAAGACGAAGTCCTGGTGGGGGCGCTCCCTGCTCTTGTTCCCAAGGCCGTAGCCGTAGCTGACGTCGCCGAAGCGGGCATCTGTGGCGGCGGTCGGAGATAGGGTTGCCATGCCGTCGGTGTTGGACGACCATGGATCAGCCCGACAGGCCCGTGCACGGCGCCGTGGCCCGCGACCTGCTCTACAAGCTGTTCCGCGCACCAGGGAGGAGGGTCGAGCGCCGATCCGAGAAATCCGCTCGGACTTGTCGTTGTTCGTTCCCTGAAAATGTGAGGGCTGGGGTCGAGGGGGCCGCGAAGCTTGCTGGGGCTAGCCTGAAACCCGCCAAGTGGGTCGGATGCCTCGAGCACGTTTCGCCGTCGGTTTCGTGAGCTGTTTTTTCGGCTCCGGCGTGGCGCTCGTTACCCGGGCCAGCCCTCCCCCCCCCGGGTAACGATCACGATCGTGCAGTGGGGGACGGGTTGCTTGCCCCCTCCGCATGGTGGCTTGGAGCGGACCCCCAGCAGGTATGGCGCTGTGCTCACAGTCGTGGCGTGGTTTGAACGGCACACATTGGTGCTCACAAACGTGGTTGTGGCGCTCGCAGTCGTCGTCGTCGTCGTCGTCGTCGTCGTCGTCGTCGTCGTCCGTCGTCCGTCGTCCGTCGTCCGTCGTCCGTCGTCCGTCGTCCGTCGTTTTCGTTGTCGTCGTCGTTGTCGTTGTCTTTGTCGTCGTCGTCCCATGCAGTTGGCGATGGCTCAGCTGCCGCAGGCTGGTTCGACCACTCTTTCGCAAGTGCGAATTGCGATGGTTCTCCCTCTCTCCCTTTTTGGCCGGTGCTCGTTCGCAGTGCGATGCAGTCAACGCGCCTTTAAGGACGCGCCCTTTTCCAGGGTACCTTTTGGTTGTTGCCTCTGCGGTCTGGTCTCTTCCGCTTTCACAGGCCAGCTTTTGCAACACAAATTTCAGCTTCGGCTTCCGAGGGTTTTGTATGTTTTTTCACTTGTTCTGACTGCAAATATCGATTGTAAACTCAGCGTCGTGGAGAAGATGAAGACCGGGCGGCCCCGCGCCTTTCCCCGCGGGCGCTGTTGTGTGCGCAAGCGCTGTGTTCACGCAGGGAGCGTAGTGCACACCGGCGCTGCGTTGCACACGGCTGCTGCGGAGTACATGGGCGTTGTGGTGTACGCAAGCGCTGTGGCGCACGCAGGCATTGTGGTGTACACCGGCGTTGTGTTGCACGCGGCTGTTGTGGTGTACGCAGGCGTTGTGGTGTACGCAGACGTTGTGGTGCGCGTGTGTGTTAATTTCGGGCGATCCGATTCTCATAGTTTTCCCTCTCTTCAAAGCGTGTATACAAAATCGGTTCTGTGGAATCCAGGGGCGTTCCAATTTCCAGAGGGATTCCCTTATTAAATTAGTCTTTCTGGTGGAATCCACAGGCGCTCCGCTTTCCATAATGTTTCGTTTTTCGAAATCTATACAAACATATGTTTCTGTGGAATCCAGAGGCGCTCAATTTTCCATGGGGTTCTTTTCATAATCAAATCATAAACAATGGTTGTTTGTATAATCCTCTGATCAATCGGAGGGTGCTGCGGTATACGCAGGCACAGGAGTGTGCATGGGCGACGTGCTGCAGTGCACGTGGTTGCTGTGGTGCACGGAGACATTATGATGCGCACACAGGTGGCGCATTGTTGCAAGCAGGCATTGGGCATTGTCGTGTACATTGGCGATTGATGCGTCGGTGGCGCGGACGCGCCCTGGCGGGCGCAAGCCGCAGCAACCGTTACCGTTACCCTCCCGGGTAACGGCCGTTACCCGGGAAAGACAAAACAATGTACACTTCGGGGCCCGACGCGCGTGTGCGCGAGGTGATTGATCAGGCATTGTTTGTTGGCGGTTTCGACGTCGAATCTTGATTTTGCTAGGCGAGATGCGAGTGTTACCCCAGTCTCTTGGGCTTTTTCAGCCGCTCCCCAGGGCTTGGGATTTTTGTGGGCACGACGATGAGGCGCAATAAATAGCAGCTGACGGGGCTCGGGCAGTCAACTCGATTTGTTGTGTTTTTCTTTTTGTGCTCCCCCCCCCCGATGTTGCTATGGCGCCGTTCATCCATCCATCCTGCTTGTCATGCCTATCATGTTTCTCCACTCCTTCCACCACAACCTCCGTTCGCCTTCTCCTCCTCCTTGTGTTTTCCCCAGTGTGCAACACCCCTGTCGATTGCACCACTCACGCCGGATCAAATCTTGTATTTGCAAATGGCGCTCTTGATCTCCAAAGACATCCCCAGTGGGCGGATAAAACAGACCCAACACAACGTGAAACGACTTATGGGGACGGTGCGATGCCATATGTTTCGCAAGCGCGCCGCGCGTGTCTGTCCTTTTCGCCTTCGTTGCCTTCCTCCTCCTCCTCCTCCTCCTCCTCCTCCTCTTTCTCATTTTGCTGCCCTCCTGTCAGCGGCCCCCCCCCTGCGCCCTTTGTTCGTCCTCGCGGGTAGGCCCCACATTTTGGTGGGTTGGGGTATCGCTGGAAGCGAGAGGATGTCATCGCATTGTGCCCTGACACCCCCGAAGCCCCCCTCGCCCCCCCTTCCGGCATCTCCCCCAGTCCCTTTTCCCCCGTCCCTCCCGCTTCTACGTGCCAGGAACAGGCGGCCCCAGGCGCGGCCCCCCTCCCCTCCCCGCCGCCCCCCCCCCCGCGGGTCAGGACGCGGATCAGCCCCTGGAGCGCCAGTTTCTGGACGACCCGAGCCCACAGCGGACCCCCCGCCGCGGCAGAGGGGTGGCAGGAGGCCAGAGGCGGGGGCGCAGCGGGCAGCGGGGCCCAGCCCGACCCGGGAGGGAGTCGGCCAGGCCCCCCGGGCACGGGCTCAGGAGCCACGCGGGGCCGCCCCCCCCCGGCTCCCCCCCCCCCCCCGGCCCCCTCCTCCCTCGGTTGGCCCGCGTTTGGGAGCAGCTCTGCGGCCGGCGCGGGGTCGGGGCACGGCCCGGGCTGGCCCGCAGTCGGCGCTGAACGGTGGCCCACACAGTTGCGCTGGACACGCACGCATGCCCTCGAAGAGGAAGGGGGCCGTGGGGGGGTGAATGTAGCGGCCGCTCGAGAGGGCCTCTTGCTCTTCTTGCCGGAGGTAGAGGAAGAGAAGGAGGAGGATGAGGAGAAGGAGGAGGACGAGGAGGAGGAGGAAGAGGGGGAGGAGGAGGAGGAGGAGGGGGAGGAGGAGGAGGAGGAGGAGGAGGAGGAGGAGGGGGAGGAGGGGGAGGAGGAGGAGAAGGAATTTGGTGGAAGGGCGAGAAGGAGGAATGATGAGGGATGGGTTGTAGGAGGACGTGGAGGAGGAGGAGGAGGAGGAGGAGGAGGAGGAGGAGGACCGATCATCAGGGCTGGCCTCTTGACCTGCTGGTGCCGCTGCTCCTTTCTTCTCCTCTCCTGTTTCCGCCCCTCCTCCCCCAGCACCCGTCCTCCCCATCTCTGGTCCTCCTGCTTCGCCTCATCCCCCACCCCATCTCCTCCCTTCTCATGCTCCGCCTCTCCTGCCATCTCCGCTATTCCCCCTGAACCCGTTTGCCTGCTGTCCTTCTCTCCTCAAGATTCCCTCCCAGTAACCTGCCCATTTTCTCGGAATGCGAATATGCTCGAGAGTCATCATGCATCCTCCCTCCTCCTGATCTTCTCCCGCCTACTCCCCCTCCCCTCATTCCCATCCTTGCCTTGCCCACCCCTCGTTCCCTCCCTTACTGCGCCTTCACTATCACGGTCGCTTGAGCTGCCTTGAGGAGCCCGTTTTCCATCTTCGGTTTCATCCGTGCGGCCATCGCCGGGCAGGACTCGCGCTGAGTGGCCATGTTTGTTGTTGTTGCCTTCTCCTCTTCCTCAACCTGTCATTGGAGTCTATCTGGGTGAACTGGAGCACGTAAAGCACAACAACAACAGCGCGTCAACATACATAAACTGGCAAACTAAAAGCGGGAAGCAGCATGACACGGATCTGTTCGCAGATTAAATTTTCACCGCCGCAAGAATTATGAATCAGTAAATGCGTGTGTCCGTATGTTGTCAGCCATTGAGTGGGTTGGCGAGGATGCATGGGAGGGTCAGTACCGATCCACCTGCATTAGACATCGGGGACATCGGGAGGGCAATTTGTGACTATGTGAATGGTGGTGCGATTGTGCTTTTACACAACTTCTCTGGCTGTTGTGCGTTCGGCTGAGAGCTAGGTGAGCTGGCATGTGGAGGGCTCACAGGGGTAACCTGCTACTTGAGTTTCACAGCGTCCAGGGCGCCGCCTGGGGCACCAAGTCCACATGCATGTGCAAGTTGCAACCCCTTTGCTCACATGGCGCAGATTGTTTGTGTGTGTTTCCACACCACCACGTTGTACACATTCGATAAGGACTAGTTGAGCAGCTCCCCCCCAAACCCGCAGCTGAGTAGCGCACAGTTTTGACGAGCTCGTCTTTGAGCATGACTGGGATCAGTGAGGGGTGGGATGAAGAGGCCGCAGTGTGATGATAACTTGATGATTCGCAATTGCGAACTGGAACTTGCCCGGTGGCATTTAGCGCCGGTAGTGGCAGTCATCTATCACATTGATTCAAATTTCGGACGTGTAGTCCTCGTAGCTTGACCTCCCGACTCGAAACTCCTAATGTTGAACAGTCGAATGCCGTGTTGCGGACGAGGTTTGGCAAAGCTGTTGCCAGTGCGTGAGCAGTTTTGTTTTCAATAATTTTCCCATGTGTACGTTGGCCGATTCTATCTGGATAGTATCCAGATTTGATATGAGATCGCATTGCAATTGCATTATTTTGCATTTCGAGTGCCGAGCGGTCTGACGCCGTTGCAATATTGTGGATGGGGTATTGAGTATACATATCTTCGGCATTGTACGCAGATGCAGAGTCTACAAATATGGTTACACTTATGCCGCTGTCCAACATATGTAGTTGGAGTGTACGGTGTTGACGTATTATTTGAAGTCGTTTCTACGAGGTGATCGTAATGTTTGTTCGCAGTATGCGTGAAGTACACTTCAAACTGGGCGAGGGTGTCCCTTGGTTCGTTAGAGTGGATGGCGGGATCATGTCTTCCCTTCGGTTACTTCTGCTCTTACGGTGGCCAGGATTTGATGGTGGTTTCGATTGATGAAAGATGGTGTTCCGATTGTTTTCCAGTCTGTGTTCGATTGTATCCCGATCGATCTCCATAACTGATGATCATTTGTGTCCCGATGCCGTCCCGGTGGCGTTGCGATAGACTTACAGTTTGGATCCAGACGTGTGCTGACCCGATGGCATCCCGATTGGTCTGTCATGGTGCCCCGACGTCCACACGATTGACATTCGATGGTTTACCGATGGTGGCCCGACGCTGCTCCCATTGACTTCCAGTGGTGGCCCGAGGGTCTCCCGAGGGTGTTGCGGTTGGTCTGCGATGTTCCCGGGATGTTGCCCCGATGGGTCCCCCCGACGGACATCGCGAACGTGTCCACACCGGTGCCCCGGTGACGCTCCGATTATCAGTGGCCATTGATGGCCTAACCGTGTACCAAGTAATTTTAGTCGGTGACCGATGGGTATCCCGATTGATTCAATGATGGTGTCTTGATTGTGTCCCGATTGGTTCTCGATTTGTTCCACGGCGTCTCGCTCGGTGCTCCCTTCGATGTAATTGCTGTGCCTCCAGGGTTCCTGATGGATGTTCGACCGTGTCCCAATGATGCCCCGAGTTTTTCTAACGATGACGTTCCGATGCTGCCCCGATTGATTCACCGATGGGGGGAGGGCAGAAAGCAAGAAGTAAGGGCATGTGTGCTTGCAGGTGGGCAGCAGGCAAGAAGAACAATGACGAAGAGGAGGATGAGGATAATAGCGATGAGTCGGTGGTCTTTTCGTCGATTCATTCGGTTCGGCAGGGTCTGCTCACTTTATATGCCTTGAAGGCATTGCCACACATTCCATTGCACACTGCTGGAGGACATATGAAACTGATGGTCACTCCATCTCTGATCCCCTCCCTTAACGGCGACAGTCCAGCCTGCTGGTCGATGTATGCATTTCTAAGCTGTCCTAGTCTCTTCGTTCATCCAACATGTACGACTGTCTTATCATATGGAAGCGTTGCTAAGCAGTGTTGCACTGAGGGGCCGGCAAGGATGATTGCCCAGCGTTGGCCGGGGGATTGGCCTGGGTGTATGTTTTGATCGGTAGTTCTCGCTATAACGTACGCTGATCGTATTTCCTGGGCGCATCCGCATTTGACGCTCAACAGTGTCGCGGTTCCCGTATCGATATTTGATGTTTGAAAAGACCATTGTTCGCCAGCGACGACCCAACGTGGTGCAACCCATGTAATGTAGTTTTTACGGTGCAATCTATGTGGTGTAATTCACTTGCCGAACTTGGTCTGCAAAACCCATGCGGGAGCGATTGCGATGAGTGCTGGGTGTTGGCTGGTGCATCTCTGCGGCCGCGCTAGCCCGCGCATGCTCGCGCGCGCAGCGGCCAGCCAGTTTGGCTTGGCCGACGCGAGCGCGGTGGCGCTGACCGCTCGGCACATCCAAACGGGCACATCAGTGCGAGTCGGCGACTTGGGCGGGCGCGGTATGATGGCAACGTCGACAATGGTAGACACGATGCCGATATGAGCGATGTTGGTGACGATGCTGGCAGCGACGACGGGGCAGCCAGTGACGGCACCGCTGCTGATCACGCCGACAACGATGACGGCGTCTTCGCGTCGGTGATGAAGGTTTTGGAAGGATTTCGAAATGCGCGCGCGGCAGACGCGCGAGAGTGGTTCGCATGGTGTTATTTCACATGGATCATGCCACCCCAGCGCGCGCGCAATGGCGTTCGAACGATTTCGACATGCGCGCGCACGAAGCCCGTTTGGTTGCATTTTATGATGAAAACGTTCAAGAACGCATTGCTTTCTGAAGAATTCGCAAGAGAGCGCGCGCACGTTTTTGTTGAACACCCGTGTTGCGATATTTTTTGTACAACAAGAAGAAGGCACTCGATTGTTGCATCTCTCTGGCACCGAAGGTTTTTGAGTGATTTCGGCATGCGCGTGCGGCGACACGCGCGTGCGCACTTCAACTCTTTTTTGAAGGGAGTCATTTAAAAGTGTTTTGTTAGAGCAGGAAGTATCACCGTACCATGTCTTTGGCAAGGGAACCGAAGGAGGTACCAATATTGGCCTGGTTGGGATAGTACGATTTCACACGTAGGAAGGACATTGGGACAGCATCGTATGCGTGTTGCATCGGTTCCAAGGGAATCGATAAGTCCCGGGGGGGAGGATGGTACGACATTTGTTCCACTTTGACTGTCTTGTAGCTGTCCTCTTCGCCGCTCGTGCAAACATCCCACCCTCCCACCCGCAACTTGGTCGCAAAACCTCTTGGTACGGCCACGGTAGGTACCAGATTGTCCCTGACAACGACACCGCCGCCGCCGACGACAGCGACCACGACGACGACGACGACGACGACGACGACTACGACGACACCGGCGACGACCCCGACGAATTCGACGACGACGACGCTGGCGACGACGACGACGACGACACCGACGACGACGACTACGAAAACGACGGCGCCGACGACGACGACGACGAAGACGATGACGATGACGAGGGAGGAGTGAGGACGACGACGACGGCAACGACGACGCCAACAATGATGACGACGACGACGACGGCGCCGCCGACGCCGACGACGACGACGAGAACGATTTCGGCATCCGCGCGCGGCGGCCGCGTGCATCTGCCCCGCATTGTTTTTTAGAAGGGGTTGTGGCCTTGGAAAGAGCGCGACCGATGTTGAAAAAGTTCGACGCGCGCGCCAAAGATGTTCGCATGACCGAGATAATGAAAAACCTTTGGTTCTGTAGGATACGGAAAGCGCGTGCGGGTAGACATTTTGATTTATTTACGATTTTTCAAAGGGAATATGGTACGATTCGTGTGATGCCATGAAGCTCGGTTTAGAAATGGTTGCAAACATCTTGAGTTTGGAAGAAGGTCGACATGCGCACGCGGCGGCCGCCGGCATGTGCCCCGCATAGCATTTTTACAAGGGATTGTGGCTCTGGCAGGTGCACGGCCGATGTTGAAAGCGTTCGGCGCGCGCATAGGTTGCTCGGGTGAGAAGCTCGTCTGTTTTTATGTTTTTTCTTGAAGCGGACGTTGAAATTGATGAAAACACAGTGTGTGTGTGTGTGTTAGGATGTCGACATGCGCGCGCAGCGGCCACGCGCGTGTGTTCCGCATGGTATTTTTTACAGAGGATTCGCAGAACAACTGTTCTGTTATTGCAAAACTGTCACCGTATAGTATCTGTTACAAGGGAAACGAAAGGGGTACCGATACCGGCCTGGCTGGGATAGTTTGAATTCACAGGTCGGGTCGAAATTGGGTCAGAATCGATAAGTCTGGGGCGTGAGGGTGGTAGAACCGATTCTTATTTTTTACAAAAGGAGAAGCTATGTGGTGCAATTAATTTCTGTTCGCAGTGAGTTGTCCACTCCACTGCTCGCGCAAACATCCCACCCACCCACCCGCAACTTGGTTTGCAAAGTCTCTTACGACCGTGACGGTGGGTACCAAATGGCACTTGGCAACGACAACGACGCCGACGACGTCAGCGACAACGACGACGACGACGACGCCGACAACGACTACGACGACACCGGCGACGACGACAACGATTTCGACGACGACGAGGACGACGACGCCGACGCCGACGACGACGAAAACGACGACGAAGTCGCCAACGAAGACGACGACCAGGGAGGAGGGAGGACGACGACGGCGACAAC